ACGGTTTTTAAGGAAAACTCGAAACTAAAGATACTTTTTTTTTTGCAGACACATGCATTCTTTTATTGAGATTATCACCCAAAAAAATGAATAAGTAAACACCAGACTAGCAAGGATTATTTTAAGCTTTTGTGAGCTTTTCGCTGATAAGAGCGGGCGACAAAGACATGCAAAGGCGTGTTTCGCTAAGAAAAGATGCCCTTTTTTGCTGCTTTTATATGCGAAACTTCCCTAAAAGGTTCTAAATTGAAAGATAACTAATTTTAAGCAAAGAAACAATGGATTCATTGTTGGAAACTATGAAGTACCCCAGATCAGGATTTTAAATTCTAATGCAAATTTTTTGAATATTCGGAAGAAAATGAGATAATAGAGCGATTTTGCTTAGTTTCTTTTATGTTAACAGTAACATTAACCTTATTTCTACCTCTACCTCTTAGCGACACTGCAATTCGTGTACATTTTGCTCGTACGTTGTGAAGTCCATATAACGTTAGATTAAGGGGAACCGTAACGTGTTGCAAAATCTCTCTAATCTCGCTTTCTGACTGGAAAACATTCATTTCAGCAATTTATAAAAAAGTTTTACTTTTCAATGATAAACTAGTTCCTACTTTTTCGGATAAAATCATATTCGAATGCCTATGTACCCATTTAATCTGTGTTCTCAGAAAAATTGGTTCAAAATGTAACCGTAATATTAATTACCTTAAACTTAATGGTGCAAATTTCTGGTGTCTTAATAAAGTTTTAAATAGAGCCGTGTATCCTTTAAAGTTTAATCTTAGTATTACGCAATGAAGTTCAAGCAGTTCGATAGTATGGAGCAAATTAGTGCCATAGGCTGATTTGATTGAGGCTAGTTTGAAAGTTGTTAGAGAGCAAGAATCCCGTTAACGCAATTGAACATGCGCAGTGATAGTTATCATTGCTCATTTACAAAATTTTATCTTCGATTTCAAACATTTTCGAATATGGAAATGATGCTTAAAAATTGTTAATAGCTTAAAATTTTCAAAACAGAATTTCCCTGCAAATCGCAGAATAGCTAAGGGTTATTGAAAATAAAGTTAGCATTACAATTAACGTAAAACAAATGCTACGCAAAATTCCTCTATTATGTTCAACACGCTCCAAAATTTCTCAAAAAAATTCCAATTTTTCAGAAATTAAATTTTTCTTTTGTGAATTTTCTGGGAGTTTATAGGTTGTAAAATGACGCTTTAAGTGATTTTTTGCAATTTGAAAAGAGCAAACACAGAATTGTGTCAGATGTGCAGCTTTTAGGAATCTTTACAATCGCGTTTTTGTTGAAATCATGCATTACATAATTGTTCCATCGAAATCTCAGAAACTACTTATTCGATTTCTCTCCATTTTGTTCCCATAAAGAAATAAACAATCGAATTCTCTAAAAGATAGCGTGCAGGAATTTTTTAAATTCTCTCTTAAATTTTTGAACTCCTTTATATTCCCGCACTTTTAAATGACTACAGTTCTAAGTCGAAAATATAAACTTATCTATATATGTGTAATACAAAAATAATAAATACTTTTGTATTAATAAAATAATTAAAGCTCTTTCGGTTTCATAAAATGTCTTTGTTAAAAGTAAGTGTAGTGATATTCTATTTTGGGAATTCAAGGCTGAAAACATACCATTGAATAATAATTAGATTTATATTTGAAAGGGGGAGTTATTTTTAGAATCTTGTCCCTCTTTCACTTCCATATTAGGAAGCATTAAATGATTTTCCATAGTGCGTAGAGTTACAAAGGCATGTACGACTGGAACCTAATTACACCAATCTCTGTACTATTTAATGCAAGACCGAAGGTTTTCGCATGTCTCTTGCTGAATAACGTCTTCCATAAAACATCTGCCGGAATCATCCGGAGTCTTGTCCACACCCCCTCCTTTCAAATATAAATCTAATTATTATTCAGTGGTATGTTTTCAGCCTTGAATTCCTAAAATAGAATATCACTACACTTACTCTTTAACAAAGACATTTTATGAACAGGGATGAGATTCTTCCGCGGATTCGCGGATTTCCGCTTTTTCTCAGAATTTTTCATTTTTCCCGCTAATTTCCGCTGAAATTTNAAAATCGCACTTTTTTTGACTTATATATTCTTTATTCTTGGATTTCCTCTATTTTACTTTCTGACTACTCTCACCCCTGTATGAAACCGAAAGAGTTTTAATTCTTTTATTAATACAAAACTATTTATTATTTTTGTATTACATATATCTTATATTTACGTATCTTATAGTCAAAACTATAAGGTTTTAAAAATAATAAATATTATATCAACCAAAAAAACATACATATTAAACATTTTGCAAGTTTAAACTTCCTAAAGTGGATGAAAAACTAATTGAGAAACAAAACTAATTGAAACAATGCAATGAAACTTATGATTAAAACAATATATTTCAAATTAAAACCAGTAATACGTTAATTACATTATTATGATTAAAAAAATAACAGTAAGAAAAAAACTTGTAAGTACCATTTATTCGAATTTATTTTATATTTGTGTAATAAAAATAATTTGTTATTCTTTGTTATAATAACAAGTTACATATATGGTTAATGATGCAAACTTAATAGAGGCGTACTTATTTGGCATAGATTCAATTTATTATTTCTTTCTATAGCCATCATCGAAAAGTTTTGCTATTATTCTAAATATTATTTAATTAAGTATTGTTCAGACACAAAAGCTGCTAAGTCATTTTATAGTTATTGCCCATAAGTTTTAGATGGAATTAATGCCTGGGGAGTTGTTATCTGTTTCAGTGGCATTTGTGTGTGGCGTAAAAACTGTAATAACTTGAACATAATCTTGACATAAAAATTAACAACTTTTCAACAACTGCCTTAAAATAATAAAAAATATATACCATAAAAACTTATGATAGAAAAGGAAAATAGCAATGAAGCTAATTGATTTTTACGAATTTTAATTGGTCAGAAAAGCACAAATTTTTTTAAAGTCTGAGATGTGAAGTATTTAGGGGGGAAATTTATTTTGTTAATATTATGTATCATGGTAATTAGCATTCTTATGTTTAGTTTCTTTTTTTAAAAAAAAAATTATGTACAGTGCTCAAAATGAAAAGTGATCGGATTTTCTTGAACTAAGACTCGATCTTAATGTTCGATAGCCTCATTTCTAATATATTAATTAATTTGGGAACGCGATATTTTAAGTGACAAAATTCGACTCAAAAATGTATTTCCTTTGAATAAACAGGCCTTTTTTTCAATTCTTGTCCCTCAAATTAAAATGTAAAAAATTCCGGCTCAAATTCCTGTAAAAAATGCCAGCACTTTAAAAATGCATCATCCGTAAAATCCATATTATACCGCTATTTTTACAGTTATATTTATTTAATTAGAGTTAGAGATTATGACTGTAAAAATTATGGTATATAAGATTTCTGATCCAAACATGTTCCATTAAAAATGAGTTTCACGGTAAAAAGTAAAGGCACCCTGCATGCCAGTCCCTTTAACCGTAATTTTATTTTAAATTTTTTACAGTGTATGGGGAGTAGCTACAATCTAGAAAATATAATATAGTTAAGCCATGAGAGCGGTTGAAAATTGGGGGACCGCTTAATGTTAATTTTACTTTTTGCGCATGTTAATTTCGCATTCTCTCAACAATTGTTTAAATCAAATGAAAAATTCTTGCATGCAACTATCAAATTCATTTATCCAAAGGTAATTAATTGCAAGAAAAAAAACTATTTTTAATGACTATTAATCATTTTATATTATTTGATTGCTAATAGTCGGGAAAAAAACTGTGAATCACAAAGTATACAAATTTTTACATCATCGTAATTTTAAATGGAAAAATACTAAACTTTTCATGAAATCGGTCAAATAGCTCTTGAGAAATGAAATATTACATCTGTGGCATTTTTAATATTTGATAACTCAAAAACTTTTTGATCGATTTCGTTCAAATTTTGTATTTGGTTATTTAAGATTACACTCTTCAAAATGATGCTCCATTTTTTTATTTTGCGCACTATTCGCACATTGAAGATATGTATTTAAGGGGGGGGGGTGCCAACTTCGAACATTTTTAATTTATTCATTTGGAATTAATTTTGGGACATATTTCCTGCACGGAGCCCTAATTATTCAAATAATGATCGAAATAAACTGTTTTATCAGTTAAAAGAGTGTTAAAATATTTTAAATAAACACAAACATCACTGTTTCAGAGAGCTTTGATCAAGTTTCGTAGCACTCTAAAATAATGCTAGGTTAACTTTTAAACTTTTGTCCATAAAAATCGAATTTAATGAAATTTTGTTACTGATCACGATTACATACAATAAATTTTGAACTTGCTGATCATATCCACACAAAACTTCGAATGAAATATGCGAGATTTGTGTCTTTGTTTTGTAACTGAATGGGTGACAATGGTTATTTGTTCTAACATTCTTTTGGTAAAATAAATTTCCAAAAACAAAAAATTTTAAAAAAACTTTTTTTTCATTAAGTAATTTTTTTATAGTATGCTTTAAATTTATTAGCAAATTTTATCAAACTTTTTTGAAGGGACAAATATACTATTTTTCGATAATATTTGCTTCCATATAAAAAAAATCACATTAAATTATTGGTCTAATGGGGACGAACATAATGTTGTAATGAGGGAAATGATACAATAAATTACCCAATCAGGAATAACTCATGTAACTCTTTGTTCAATAAAATTTCTCTGAACATTTCTCTATTTATTAAAATAAAAGAAACTGATCTATGTTCCTTGTCGCAACTTGTGTGTCTCGTGTTTTCTTCCGTCATTCTGTGTTTCAACAGTGAGGAAAGTTCTTGCTTACAAAATCGAAGCTATAGTATGGTGCCTTTACTTGTTCTTTGTTTACGTTGCTTAACTTGAGTCATAAATGTATATTATATCTTTATTTAGATTTTAAAACTTAACATTTTCTTCCTCTTTTTCAGTTCTACCAACAGAGGGCCCCAGAATCACCGGTGGTCAGCCAAAATACAATGTCGGTGACCCCGTAGCCATAAACTGCACATCAGCCAAATCAAAACCAGCTGCAACTCTCCGATGGTTCATTAATGATGTTGCTGTAAGTCAGTTTATGAATATTTCTTACGTAAGTGCGGGAATAAGTTCGTGAATCTCAGCTAATGATGTAAATATTTGTTTGTCAACACAAGATAGCTTTAGTTTTTTTCGGGTTAGTATGACAAGAAGCATACAAAAATGTAACATTCACAGATTTCCTGAATGAAAAAATGATAGAAATACATACACACATTCGTATCTACATGAGTAAAATTTCACAAATTGCAGTTAGTATGCATAAATTTTGGGTAACTTTATCTAAATAAAATACTATAATACACTGAGAAAAACAGTGTGCGGAGGGGTGGCGTAAAAATGAAGAGAGCGTTTTGTATTTAAAGGAGTTTATTTGCGTTTACCCTTTCGGGCGTAGAGCGTAGACTGTAATGGCGTACAAACATAGACAGCTTGCCAAATTGGCGTATATACAGTGTGCCAAGTGGAGATGCTCCGTCGCCAAGAGTGTAGCTTACAAATACGGAACAAACAGTATGGTCAGAACTACCATAATAAGATAAAATTTACCTTGTTTCTGGGTCCACTAGGGCACTAAAATTCATGATAATTTTTATCGAAGTGCTTTGGTAATAATTTTAGTAATATTAAGAATAAAACATGATTTTATAATTTGAGATAAAATTTAGTAATTTCATCATGATATCTTAGAGCAGGGCATAAGAATCATTTATTCGATTAAATCTACTCTTTTAGTTTGCATTTTTTAATAAATATGTGGTAGGAAGTGTAATTTTTTGAAAACCAGAATTTCGGGTAAGACCATTACCATATGTGCGGAAAAATTGTTAAATGAATGGTTTAAATATTGTATATTCTGGATTTCATAACCAGAATTATGCTTTTTGTTTAACCAGGAATGTTACATCATGCTATAAGGTAATTGGGTATAATATAGCCTACGTCACAGGTTGTGTTGTTCCTACTAAATTTAACCCANTTTAGTTATCTAGTTTAAATGCAATACCTACGAGCAGAAAAAGTTCCAACAGCAGACAATCGCTTCGATACTTGACAGACATGCCTCTGTCTCTACACCTAGTCATCTTTGTTCTGACTATACTTCAGTAAAATACAGGAACTATCGCCTGCTTTATGATTTTGCTTATTCGTGCTTATTGCGTTGATTTTTTACTTGTTTTAGTAAATATAACTGCTCATATATAAATTTTCATATTATACCCAATTTTACCAGAATGTTTTTTCCGTGTAAATTGAGAAAGTCTCGAACAGCTGCCTTTATTAAACGAAATAATGCACTTATTTTCGGTTAGCATTGGCACATTACATTTTTTAACGCAGGATAAACAATTGGGTATACTATAGCCTACGTCACAGGATGTGTTATTCCTACTAAATTTAACTAAAAAACAGCATTTTCTGCGAACCTGATTTTTAACAACAAGTAAACATTACATGAAGTGTGTTGTTATAAGTCGCTACCTGCAGGTTGGAATTGTATTAGTCTAGTTCCTTTTGAAATATGAATTTAGTAAGCATATTTAGAACTCAGCTTATTAATTAAACTAAAAGGTAAATGTTATTCCTTGTAAGTAGAAGTAGTTGTGTTTTTTTCATATTTTACCCAATTATCAGAATAGTCTGATTTCTGCTAAAACTATCCAACCTTTCTAGTTTGTTTATTTTTAAACTGTTTTAATAAAAATTTCGTGTATTTTTTTTATTTTCAAGTTGGGACCAGAGTACGATACAGAGTATTCGACAACCCTTCACGCAGATGGTTTAGAGACATCGAGCTTGAGCTTGAAATTCGTGGCCAAAGATAAACATTTCGTAAATCAGAATATGAGGTTAAAGTGTACTGCACAAATCAAGAAGATGTACACAATGAGCAATGAAGAAATGTTTGTTGGCGGAAGGCAACAATCATCACCGCTTCAAATAGCAGAAAATGAAAGTAGAGGTAAGTTTAAAAAGAATAACTTCAAGAAAAACTAAAGCGAAAGATATAGTTCAAGAAATAAAGTTAGCGCTAAATTTAGAAAAATTTACTTAACATATTGTAATTGACATTTATATATTTTTCTTTCTGTCGCTGTTTTCCATAAAAGTTAATGTCTAGAAAACTTCTACAATTACATTTTTTTTGTATGAAATATGATATAATTTGCTTTTACGTTTCATGGAACTTTCAAATCTGTGCTGTTTCCAAATGTTCCTTGAAACAGGTAGTCTATTAATAAAAAATTCAAGGTTGGTTGTCAATCGACTAATTTTTGTGAACCTTTTGGGATTATGTGATTTAAAATAAATAAAATAAATTTCAAAAATGAACTCTAAAACAAATTCGGAGAAAAAAATTAAAGAAAAGGGAGCAAGATCCTTCCTATCTTTGGGCATTAGACTATGTAAGTAAAAAAAATTACAATTCTGCTGCAATAACTATTCTGAAACAACAACAAAGTCTGAAACAAATTAGAAAAAAAAATTTAAAGAGCAAGTGAGAAAAAAAATCTTCAGACGTTAGAGCATGCAGCTACAATAATTACAATAATACGTAGTTGGATATAATTTTTCCTTTTTACTAGAAAAACAGAAAAACCATAATTAAAGGCGAAACTGAAAAATTAGCTTCATAATTACTTTGCTTTTTTTTTATTAGAATAGTAATTTTTACTATAAAATAGTAATTACCATAAAATAGTAATTACCATAAAATAGTAATTTACGAAAAATTACTATTTTATGGCAATTAATTTTCTGTAAAATTTAAAACCCTAAAAAAATTGCAAATAAAAAAAATCCGAAAAATTTCAACTCTGAAATTAAATCGAATTTTTGAAAAAAGGAGCCAAAATCTAAATTCTACTGCCTTTAGTTTTCTCTGTACTGAACTACGCAGTGCAAAACAAAATATCTTCAACTGTGATATTGACTTAAAAACTAATGTTTGCATTAATAACATTTTAAAACAGAATATATCTTACCCATAACCCAAGAAATATACAATATTTTTGCATTTATAGATTTAGCATTGTGATAGGGAGAAGAACGAAGTTTTTCTGAAATAGCGGTGATATCAATAACTGTTTTTCTTATAATATGGAGAATAATATTTCAAAGAGAGAAGAAAAAAAGCGTTGATAAAAAAAGAGTATTCAATTTTAGGTCTTTATTTTTTTTAATAAAACACTATACAGAGAGACATTTTCTGGCTTATGAATTTTATATTTTTTACCTGTTGTATATTTAATACATTGATATTTTGTACTTTTGATATTCATTCTTAAAGAAAATGTAAATGTATAGTTTTCCTGTTAATTAAACTTAGGAAACAGTCACTTTGAGTGAAGACACCACCCTGAATATTCCTAAAAATGGCATTTTTCATTTCTGCATTTTCTGAAAAGAAATAGAGTGGGAAAAAAATATATTAAAGTGTTTTTCTAAAATTTGAATTTTTTAGGAGCAGCAGAGACGAGTACGGAGTTTTTGAATACGGTATCTGCCGATACAGAGACACCTGTTGATGGGACAAGTAACTACGCTAGTTTTTTGCATGTGCTCTAAATAAGCTTAAAGTAGTAAGTTGTGAAAAAAACTCAACTGTAAATGTATGTTTCGAATATTGTTATAACATGCAAAAAATTTGAAAGGTTTGTACTAGTATTTCTACACGAAACTAATTTCCAAACTGCCATAATTATCTCATTTTCAGAATATTCAGGGTGGTGTCCAATATAGTAAGATGATCTCTTATTTTTAAAAAAATTACGTAATTGAAAATATCTCTCGGGAGATAATCCCAGCTTTGTTGAAATTCAAAATCATGACCCTATTTATTACAAAAAATTATATTTAAATTAAATTTAATAAATCATAAAAGTAGTAAATATGATGTATTCAGATAAGTAGGGTTACTTTTGTGCTGATTGTGAAACAAGTAAACAACAACGCAACGAACACAAACCGTGCGTAAAGTACTATTATTATTGTTTTAAACTAATGTTTTGCCTTTACGGCGTGTCTCAAAAGACCAACGGATGGTTTTAAAAAAAGTAATTTAAAAAATTCATTTGAAGATATAACAATTTGATGCTCTTGGTCAGAAACTAGGCTTGTACTAGACAACTTTCAAATTTATTGACAAAAATTAACGAATGGCGTTGCTGATTAATAAATCTGAAAAACAATATTTAATGCTGCATGTCAGGCAGTATTTGATTGTTTTTTCCTCAGACTGCACCACACTGTTTTTGCCTATTATAAGTATCTTAAAGCCATTGTTTTATAGACTTTTAGTTAGAAGTGTCATCGCAACTAATTGTAAAAACTGGATTGATTAAATGACATGATTAACATGCAAGGGCGTGGAACTTTTTTTTCCTTTTACGGTTTTCCCCCAATTTATTTTTCGAATCATTCGTCATTTTTTGAAACACTTAGTATTTTAGGTCTTTTCTAATTTTTCCACCACTAGGTTTTAAATATGATCAGTTGTAAAGGTTTCTAGGTATAGCACTTTGAAACTAAAGCTTGATAATCTATTTTTAATATATACTAACTCGAAACCTAAAACTATTTAGTTATCTAGTTTAAATACAATACCTACGAATAGAAAAAGCTGCTCATAAGGCAAACAATCGTTTCGATACTTGACAGACGTACCGACTATACTTCAGTAAAATACCGAAGCTATCATCTGCTTTATGATTTCGTTTATTCATGTTTATTACGTTGGTTTTTTACTTGTTTTGGAAAAATATAAATAACTGCTCATATATAAATTAATACGTATTGTTAGTTATTGTGCTTAAATTTCGTGTCATAAAACTAAAAACTGTGTATGCAAACATAAATTACAAATGCTATTGAAAATAACTGCAGAAATTTTTATACTAACTCTTTTTGTTCCTCATAAATAAAATTTTATCGTTTCCTTTTTCAGAAAAACCTCTCATTACAGCTACAGCTAGTCCAAAACGTAAAGGGACAAAACAGCAACGTAAGTATAGAAAAAATATAAGCGTTATTATACAATTAAAATATAGTTCCTTCTGGAGTTTTTTTTTCCTTACATCTGCTAAAACGGAGTGAGTAAAAATTATAAAAACACTATCAAGCGCACAGAGTAGTAGTAAAGTAAAAGTCTAATAGTAAAAAGTTTATACATGTTCAATCAATTCGAGTTGATCCATTTGGTAACAAAAACTTTTCCTGCATGGCAAGCTCTTGAGTTCTAAAATTTTAAATATATCAGTAAATTCTGTGAAGTATTGTTGAATATTGAATTTAAGAAAAACCAATTTTAAAAAAATTAATGTTTCGTATGATGATTGTTAAGGATATTATTGCCAGTTAAATTTCTTAATTTGTAAACTCCATTCACGACTTGCGAAAAAAAAAACAAATGTTTCAGTTAATATTAGCTCATTAACGCTTACCAGAACAATATCTTGACTGAATAGACAAAGAATTGATCTAAATCAAAAATGTTTTACACTAATCGAAGAACCACAAAGACAAGTTTATTCAAATATTTGACTCAAGAGTACGTTTGTTTTCTAAATTTTCTTCAAATATTCAGGGCTAAGTAGAAAAAATAAATTATTCTTTGACGAAGTAATACAAAACTTATCCAATCTCGACAATATTTTATAATTTTATTTAATAACTGTCGTTGAACGGCTGACCCAATTTTTGGGTTTACAACTACCAACTACCAATGTTCAACGCCGTGGCCTTGTAATTTTGTACTCAATCCAGAAGACAAGGGAAGTCCTGGATCAAGTGTTGGGAGAAATTTTCCTTCGTGAAGGGCTTTTTGGTGGAACTAACCGCATTTGCGTTACACGGTGAGGAAAACTTCCCAAGGTCAGCGTGATCGCAAGGAAACTCTAACCCATGATCCGTCAACCACTGAGGATATTTTTACGTCAGTACAGTGGTTCAAAATATTTATCTACTGGCAATAAAACAATTTATTATTGTTTTAAACACATAAAGTGCGCAAAAACAAAAGAAACAACGCTAAAATAACCTTTGCTTGAATGATCGGTTTTTCTTGTATTAAATTTTAATCTTAATGGTTCGAAGGGTTTACCTTAAATATGCTAACTAACTAGTGCAGACAACGTTTTAAGATACAAAATCAGACACTAAAAGTAATCTTGTTTACGATGAATTAATAATTTTAACTCTCAAAATAATAGTTTGTAGTAAAGAATATAGAAAGCAGAAGTCCAGTTCTTCGAATTAGTTACTAAAGAGGAAAACTCCTCGGTGTGGTATGCTATACCAGAAAAACAACTTATAGGGTGAGCAACATACTAAAAACATACTATGCAACATACTGAACAACATACTATGATTTAGCAGAACACATGTACTAAGATCCAATGCATGCACATAAGAAGTGACAAACAGAAGGCACGTCAATTGTGAACCGGTTGTTAGACAATTCTACACGTATGATTGGGTACGTTGCCTCCCGCCAACCGCCATTTTATTCTTTCCTCCTCTGTCAACATATGTTAGCAGATTCAATCCGCATGGATGATATAAATCTATTCTCAAAGAAATATCTAAGTAAATACAATACTGCGCAGCTTAAAAATGTAACAAACCAATAATAAATTAAATAGAAAGCTCTTCTTCTCCTCCCCCCCAACCCTTCTCAAACCCAGTACTCCGTTAGAAATTTCATGAGAAAAACTGTTAAATAGCAATTTATTGAATTGCTATTTTACCATATTTAAATAAAATAGTCAAATAACCATAAAAAAGATAGTATTCAAACTATTAACTGTGAGAAAACTGATAACAAACTATAAACTGATTTCCCCTAATACTGTTGAAATACCTGAATATAGTACCAACTAGACCGACCTAATGAAGACACTTCGTTCTTTGCAGATGGACACGTATTATTGCTAAGAGGGCTAATTTGTAAATCTCATGACTGACAGAACGGGGGCTCGAATCCCAGCGTTGACAACGCAATATTTCCTCTTTTCCCTTTGAAACATGAAGAGTTTCCAGAGTTCTGCCCTCCCCAATTTACACCGAAGAGCCATTACATTATGACCACCCTCCTTCTATAACAATGGGCTCGCCCAGGTTTTCATGGTTTCTCGCCCAGGAACAATGTTTTCATGGGGCACATTAGGACCCATAATCCTCATCGAACAATCCCTGACGTCTGTAAGCTACTTGAACATAGTTGCAGACCAGGTTCACCCATTCATGGAAACAGTTTTTCCTGCTGGGGATGGTGTTTACCAACAGGATAATGCACCCCATCATAAGGGTCGAATCGTCATGGATTGGTTCGAGGAACATTCCAGTGACTTTCAAGTCATGTCTTGGCCCCCCAAATTCACCTTACCTTCATCCAACAGAGCATTTGTGGTCCTACTTGGAAAACCAAATTCGTGCTTCCACGCTACCCCCTCGCAATATGAGGGAATTGCGGGACCAGTTGGTGAGCGCTTGGTAACAGATACCTCAGACTACCTATCAGCATCTTGTGGAATCAATGCCACGACAGGTGATAGCAGTTTTGAGGGCTAAAGGTGGTCCTACATGTTATTAGCAGGGTGGTTATAATGTAATGGCTCTTCGGTGTATAACCCTGTTAGAATGCGTTGCATGTTACCGGTTATTGTACTGTAATTTTAGAATAAAAATTCTAATAATGTACCCATTATTTATTTATGTTCTTTTCTTTTCAGTCCAGAGTACGAGCGAAGGAGTTACATTTCTGTTTCACCATTGGCTATTGTTTTGTCCAATCATGATTTTACTTCTTAGGGTGACTTAAAAACCCAAGCTAGCCACTAAGAAGACACAACATAAATTCTTTTTTCGCCTTTCAGATTTGTAATAATCGAGAAAGGCGAAGTAGAAAAACTATTTATAGAAACGCCATCTGGTGTCGGGAAAATTCCCGAAGGTGCTCGCTCGTACATCATCAAAAGTCATTGTGATTCCAGAAGCTTATATTAGTGTCATTTACTCCACATTTTTGGGAACTCGAGATTATTTCTGCGTGAACACAGTTACGATTGAAGGTCGTCTATTCAATATTTTAAAAATCAAATTTCAATATGATACATTTTTAAGACTGTCTGTTTGATGTTCTACTACATTTCAAATTTATAGTATCCTGTTATGTCGACTGATTGCTATTTCTTCTGTTTTCAGTAATATTATACTTTTTACAGGTAAAAGTAAGGTGACCAGACATTCTCAAATCGTGTCGAATTACATTGATTGTACTCAGAAATTTCCAAACTCTTTGAGGACTGAAAATGTCTCCAAATTTTAATATGTGTCCTCAAATGTTCTCAAAATTCCACAAAAATCAGTAATGCGAAAGTTTTTTTTTTTTTAACAAGTCTTGCAGAAAGTACAAACGAAAAGCATAAAAGCAACATGCTGAAATGAACAGATGAAGCCAACATACTCGTCTTAAAATAATTTTAGCGAAAAATGAACTAATTCATCATGTACTCATTCATTTTACAAGTATACATTTCAAAAAATGTTTTTGTTGCACATAAAAAATTCATATTTTCCATTAATGTGAATAAATGCTCTCAAATTGCAAAATTTTTCGAAGGTTCTTCGCTGATTTGTCCCCAAATTATGCTTCGTAAATCTGGTCACCTTAGGTAAAGGTTAGTAATGGAAACCATGGTCAATAAATCATAATACAACGTCAAGACTAAGAGGTCAAAATAAATAAATTTAATGACACAGAGTTTAAAAACATGCTGTTTAAAATAATACATTATTTTTAAAACCGACCCCAGTATTTTGAAAAACCGTATAACCATTATTAATTTTACTTATTTGGAAAATTTCTTTCTTTTTTTTTTAAACCAAACTCAGTTTTTTTTCTTCAAAAATATACTGCATTTAAAGTCAAAAATAATTTTTAAAAAATATGCTTAAAACTGTTTTTGCCTATTTATTTATTTTACTATTTGAGCAGTTTTCTTCAAATGTAACTGCAACAAAACGAAAAAAAATCACAAAATGAAGCTAGCTTAAAAATTAACCAAAATTAAAAATTTAAACTTTTTTTTTTCTTGAGTGAATTCCCTAACTTAGAATCTTTGCAGCGCACTCCAAAGTTTTCTGACGCTACCGTTCGAAAAAAGCCTAAAAAGTTTAATCGGTTTTAATCTTAAGAGAAATGTAGAGATCTTTTCTCCTCTTTTTTTGTTATAAGCAAACGATTTTTTTCTGAATCAAAATGTTTTGAAAAAATTTTTAATTTTAAAACAAAATAGCAACCTTGCGTCTATTGTATTTTTTATTATAACTTTTTCATCGAAATAAAATCTCTCATGAAATTTATATTTAGAAATTGAGTATCTGATTGATGGTCAAACTAGATCCAGTAAGAATGTTTTCTAAATTTCCGAAAGTTATGTATTGAATTTTATTATTCATGAAAATTTTACTATTTCTGTTGTAGTTTGTTTTTATAGCAGAATTATTTAAAATATTGATAAAATAATTATGATTAAATTAAGAATAATGATGTCCCTTAACTGTGAATCGGATCATTCGGAAAGTCGACAGTCAAATGATTGTTTATCTGTTTCAAAAGTTGAGAGAATTTAAATTGCCCTCCAAAAGCTCCACGTCGCGAAACTCACCCAATCATTGCTCAATCCAGAATACATTTCAATTTAATATTTACAAACTAAATTGTTTGTAGTATAAAAATTATTTTGTAACAGCTATGATACTCGTTTCTATGAATAATGACAAAAACAACTAGCCAAATTTCAATGCCTAGATAAAATTTCTTTTCTTCAAAGTCTAACTAAATCTCTGTAACTTAAGCAGCAACTTTAGCACATGCTTTTACTGGAAACAGTATTCTGAATTATAGAAAGACTTACATTTGCTTTTCTTTTTTCTTTTCTTTTTTTAATTTTGCAAACTTTTACAATACATTTTACTTCATTTCTTGCATATAAAACACTTATAATTCCAAACTGGATAATTTACTATTTATTAACTATATCATGGAATTTGTGTTCGATATTTTCATTTAAACAAGCCGATAATAAAATGTTGCTCTTCTCCCTTTATTTTGCAAATAAAAAATAGAAGTGAGTGAATGAAAAATTGTGCAATTTAATATTATTGGTGTTTCGTGTAAATATATAAGAATTCTAATGATTGTTGTTAGAAGTTTTAATATCAAATGAATATGTACAATACTTTATTACTCACAATGAGTTCAAAGTATTAATAAAAATGTGAGCTTGTAAATTTTAATATATTTAAGTAGAAAATCGAAAGAGTTTTTTCAGTTTTAAGCAGCTCAACACTTGCTGTTATACGTTATTTGAATATTATAATTTCATCTTCTTAAAACTGTAAGTAATTAGAATTTTCAAAGATTTGATTGTATATTTAATCTCAAGATTACATTTTGAATGTTAATTTATAAACGTTAATGTCTTTGTTTTCTAGTAACTTTACACAAATGTTTCAAAATTTTTAACTGTCCATTTGCAAAGCAATCATTCCAATTTAATACAAAATTATTTTAAAAATAAGTAATTATTAGTTTAAATTTTTCTCTGAGGCACGTTATTTTTTAAATAACATAACGGTGCATTAGGGGAAAAAAATTTAATGAAAATAAATTAACTGAATTTACAGAAGTAAATTATTTTCATTTGTAATTCTTTTGTTTGTATAATTGTACTATACATTTATGAATTATTTTACAAGTTACTTTATTCTGTCAAACTATATAATTAGCTCCAAAAGTATTAATTTATATATTTCTTGTTATGTAATATAAATCAATGTATATACAAGTCGTTTTTACTTCTGTTAAATCTTCCTTGTTGTTATGTGTATATTTGCAACAATAAAATATACTAAAAAACATTTTCGTCCTCATCTGCTCTCATACCTTAGTCAAGCTAACAGCCTGACCAAACAGTAATAAGATTGCTTTATATGTCTAACTTGAGTGTCATATTCTTTCGCACATCTGAAAAAAAGAATTCTTTATCGAACATTAAAAACCACTTCCTTTATTAAACCTAAAAAAAACTTCATTCCTTAATAAACCTCAAAAAGCACTCCTTTTCTAAGACATTAAGAAACCGCAATATTTACCTAACTTTAAAAAATACTCCGTCAAATCTTCGAAACTACTCTCAAACCTTAGTAAACCTAACCTTCTAAAAATAAATAACTATTTGTGAAAATTTTACAAAATATTTAATGTAAATACCAAACACCCCATAATCAAGATTTAAAACAAAAAAACATTTAAGGTACAAAATTTTAAAAAAAAAGAAACGCTGAAATATAAGTTAAAAAACGTATAATTGATTATGAAAAGCAATGTTAGTGTAAATACATTTGGTAAAAATTGGTCATTTCTATAATGCAAAGGGGAAAAGAATCTTTGCTGATAAGGGCGCTTAATTTTCTCATGTTTGATTATAAAAACATGTTAAATTTATATTTTCTATAAAAAAAAAAAATATATATATATATATATATAATGCAGAAATATTATCTAAATGCTTTTGAATTTGCAATCTTTCGATGTAGAAAAATTTGTGATCCGATAGCTGAATATAAATACCTTATTTTATACATGAGCAATACTTTAACAACAAAACAGCGCACGTGATTGCTTTAACCATAGAGGAAATATTTTTGAAAATCCATATCAAGTTTTTTTTTAAGTTCGTGTAATATAAGCAAATAAATTAACATTACACCTACGACGCAAGAAGTCTTTATAATAGCATCATATGGATGACTACAATTACCTTTTTTTACTTCCTTTCCACTTAGTAGACTTCAAAAATACCTCATCATCAGAATCGACTGAAATTAAATATTTGCTACTTTTCAATTTTTAGACCAAATATTCCTTGAATGCGTTTAGAAAATACCTACTGTATGTAGTAAGTATGTAGTACCTACTGTAAGGGATACTCTCAATTTAAAGGAAAATTCTTTTGGTCCCTGTCCCTTGAAACAAGGGCTATTGATGATAAGCTTCTTAATGAGGAATGTACTATTTAAGGGATTCGAAAATATTTCAAAATTCAAGGTAGAAAAAATAACAAAGTAAATATCGAAATATTTTTGGCTATCCAACAATTTTTTTTTCTTTTAATGAAAAAGCTAAGAAAGTGAAAAGAGCTAATTAATGCCACATAACAAAACATACTGTAGTCTCAGTTCCATAATGAAAAAATTCAGAGGAAAATAGGTTTATTACTATAGGGATGCGTTTTAATATTATAAGGAATAAGTTTGAGCAAGATTTTGAGATTAAAGAAGAGATTGGAGATACGTTTATGGTGTATGAATCGCAGTTGTTGCAAATTCAAAGGAGAAAAGATTTCTAAATATTTGAAAAGATTCTCTCTTTGTAGATATATCTATTCCTTTCGTTTGATGAGGGCTGCGTAATTGGTAGGCTGCTTTTTTACACTAATGAGTAAAGGTGCCATGGTGCAATTAAAAAATTCATATTCATAGAATTTTTCTTGGTAGAACGGAAGTAGAAACGAAATGCCTTACCACCAGGAAATGCCTTGGTGGTATTATTAAGAGGGGTGAACATAAATGAATCAATAAAAAAGAAAATGAGATCAGATGTCAGATCCATCCAGTGATAGCGGTAGATAGCTGATTTAAAACGAACATTTCAATGTAAAGTGGAAATTTCTATCACTTTCTAACTCTCCCCTGGGTCTGAAATTGTGTAGAGAGTTTAGTTTCGTGCTTGTGAATACAATTCCTATGCTACCTACAATTTTTAAACTAACTCGTGTAACAGATTTAAGAAGAAAAAAAGCTTACTATATCTCGGAATCATTTAAACGCAAAAAAATCCCACTTTTCCTCTAACACCATTGAAACTGTACATTAACATTTATGAAATTTCTAGTAAATATTACTGAATTGAGAGTTATGAAGTTCAAAGTGATTGTACTGCCATCTATTTATTAGAGATCAAATTATTACTTATTGATAAACTAGAAATAAACAACCATAAATCAGAAAGTTACTATTATTCAACAGCGGCAAATTGGTGCGTGGCAGAAAAGCTAAGAGGAAGGGTTCATTTTTTCATAAGCATATTTCTTTCATGAGCATATTTCTTTTGATGTAAATTTTAAACTGGCTTATCATTTCTATTTTTTGGTTCACTACGAGAGGAAAATCTTTAAATAAGTGAGATCTTTTTGCATATTTTTTTTTCTACCTAACACCAAATAAGGTGTATATATTCGCTTAGCTGATTCACCCTTTCTCTTTCGCTCCGACTTCTTTCCCTAAATCACTGGAATAAATTCTACCAGTTCGCTTAACTCTCACTTTGGGCAAGCCAA